CAGGGAACCCATCATCATAAAGCAAAAAAAAAAAACCCCTATTCAGACCATTGTTTTGTGATCGCAAAAGTGATCGCAAAATTTATTAAAAACGTCGTCGTAATGCAATTTCATCGTAATGCGGGGCAATCGTAAAGTGGGGCACGACTGTATATAACAGATACAAGTTTACATAATACTAGTCAATGTTCTGATAATTTTGATTGACTGTGCCTAATAATAATAATAATAATAATAATAATAATAATAATAATAATAATAATAATAATAATAATAATAATAATAATAATAATAATAATAATAATAATAATAATAATAATAATAATAATAATAATAATAATAATAATAATAATAATAATAATAATAATAATAATAATAATAATAATAATAATAATAATAATAATAATAATAATAATAATAATAATAATAATAATAATAATAATAATAATAATAATAATAATAATAATAATAATAATAATAATAATAATAATAATAAATACCAGCCTGAACAAAACTCTATTGCCTTGCCCTAAGATTTTACCAGTGGAGAAAGTGGAATTCACTCCATTACCCTGAACACACATGGTCTGTGGGCTCAATCAATGGTTACAACCCTTACCTGAGTACCGTGGGGTAAAGTTCAGCTGTGTACAGGAAGACAGTAGTGAACGAGGCTTCTGAGAAACCCTTCCCCAGGATGGCCACCACTGACCGAACATGCCCATATGCTGGTGAAGGAACAAATAAAGGCTGTGTGAGTCCCCCAATGTGATTGAGTTAGTCATATTAAACACCAGGGAAAGAACATATTCCAAAGAATTGTTGGAAAAATAACAATCATAGGTATCAGGCCTAAAGTGATTGCTCTATTAGTAAGGTTTTTCCTGCCTCTGGCATTTGAGACAAGTGTCTGCCCTCTCTTCTTGTCTGTTTATTTGCTTCCATTGTTTTGTTGTTAGTTCACTCTTTTCTCTGAGGATGTCTCTTCTACGTGGTGGAGACCTCATTCCCTGCTTTTTAAAATCTTTCTGACTGTAACTCCAGATGGTAACTGTAAGTAAAGACACTTTTCCCCTACTTTAAATATAGTCCTTCTAGAGTGATTTTTATTGTACCAAGTGCTAGCTTATGTGGGGAAACCAAAGAGGGGAAGTGATGAGAACTGAGATATTCTTTCATGTTTCTCTGTGCTGTTGTTTTTGTACTTCATACTCTGCTAACGTAGGAATTACCAAAATGCCCCCCTCAAAAAATAATAGCTATTGATTTTATACTTGGACCTCTCTGTCTTGTTTCAGGAAGTCACTCAGTCTTATCTGGATCTCTAGACAAAGTGGTACTGCTTTCAGCTTTGGACCTCCCCATCATCATCTGTGGCACACCAGTTGGATCGACTGCCCTTCTTAGGAAGAGATTCCACACTATTGAATATAACCTGTGATGTATGACAGATAATCAGGGTGACTTGTGGAGGGCCAAAATCCAGATTAGAGCATGTGTTTGTTTTGTATGCAAAAGGACCTAATCTCCATCTGTGGAAACTCCATCTAAACATCACTAACTGGGATCTGAGAGCCAATGTTGTGTCATGGATAGAGGGATGGCCTAGGACTCTGGAGATCTGGGTTCAAATCACTGCTTGGCCATGGAAGGTAGCAATGACATTGGGAGATGGTAATGACAAAACCACTCTTTAAATATGTAGCTTGATGGCATGTAACAATATAACAAATAGCATGTTATGGGAAAGATCTGAGACTTGTCAGGGTAGATCATACTGGGCTGAATGAAAAGGTAGTTAGTCTTGGGGTATGGTAAGTTGCTATTTTATTCCCATCATTTCTGATGTTGACATACCTAAGCAGCCTCTTATTTCTCAGCTAGAAATAAGGAAACGTTTCCTTTCCCAGCATTGTGGCATCAACTCCTTAGAAGCCCTGGTCAATATCACCAAAAGTAAAAGACCTTGGGAACTGTGATCCAAAATCTCTGTGGGCCTCAAGATTCCCTTCCTTGCTTTTAAACAACTGCACTCCCTGCCTGCCATTCGTGGTGAATTACTCTGCTTTTGCCCTAGGATTGCATAGATGGTCCTTGCAGATTGTAGCTGCTGTTAGCAATGTGTGCAGTTTCACTGCTCGACTGAAAGTTTTAAGATTTACTTTGTGTTGTTGATGTTGTTATGGCCTGGATATGTTTGTAGAGACTCACACAGCTACTTGTCTGAAATCTACAACCAACAATAACCACTTCCATTCAGGGATTGCCATGAAATTAATCCCACTGTCACTCATTAGACCAGGGGAGTCTCATATTTGCATATGTATTAAGACTGTAGTCCTGTGCCAAGTAACTCATGTTTAAGTCTTGTGGATTTTTAAAGATGCAAAACTGAAGCTGAATGAATCAATGGCCAAAATCCTCTAGTACAGTTATGCCAGTGGAAGAGAAATGGCATATCTTGCAGTGGCAAATTGCTGCTAATTAACAAGTGTCTGCTTCACTTACTGGTCACGTGTCAAGCCACTTGAGTGATGTACAATGAAGAATCCAAGTGGGGACTCATTAATTAATGGCAATTTGCCCCTACAACTTACGACATTTCACTTGCACTGGCATAACTATGCAAGAAGGTTTAGATTAATTTGCATAATTAAATATCAGTAATTTCTCCTTGTCATTGTAGAGAAAGACAGCACCCTTTAACTGACTACTGGAAAGATGAAAATTTGTATCGTTAGTGTAATATATTATAATGAATATTATTCACACAATAGGCAGGGTAATAATCAGAGCTTCAAATAGTTCCTCTTTTTTTTTGACTACAACTCCCAGAATTCTCCAGCCATACTGCATGGGAGATTCTGAGGACTGTAGCCCCTCCAAAAAGGACTTATCCAAGGTCTGGGAATGGGTGTACAGTGGGGCTGCAATACTGACAAAATTAACCTCTCACCTGCCGGGATGGCTGCGTTCAGTGCAATGAGGGATCCAGCGGCAATCAGGGACCACGCCTGGCAATGTCTACGGCCAATATGATCCAGGACAAAATAGACGCCAAGTTTGGCAGGAATCTCAATAGCCCCAAACATAAAATGTGTCAGGTATGGATCCAAGCTAAATCCACTGATATTTAAACTGAGGCCGTAATAGGTAAATGCGACGCCGAACCTGCAAGGCAAACAGAAGACCAATTATGCAGATTTAGCAACATTAGACATGTTCACACTGAACATTTGTCCAACATTCGTTGTCCCCATGATACCGGTCCTGCATCACTGTATCCGTGTGGCACAAGATGGACATGAGTGCAACAGAGTCAAAGCAGGACCAAAAAAAAATTACTTTCTGGCTTTTGTTTTTGCTTTGCTTTCCTGCAATTTGTTCCAAAGCAGGATCTGCTTGTGCATATCCCAATACTAAGTTGATGTACGGTATGTTAATCGGTGCCCTTTATGGGTCTGTGTTACTAGATAATTTTCTCAGAAGTTAGAAGTCCTGGCTATTTTTTATCCTTTCATGCCTTGCAAGGCCTGTGTTGTTGTTGTTTCGGGATGTCAATGGCTTCTGCCTTCTGCTCTTTTATTTTTTATAGATTAGCAATTTGAAAACAAAGGACAAAGGTGACAACTAAGAGCAACACTAATTTAAAAAAATAACATTAGAAAGCTTTAGAGAGGAATGTTGGGCAGGTTAAAAGAGAAGGGAAGGGAATTGAAAGTGACATCGATGGAGAAAAGAGCAAAGAAGAGAGGCAAAAAGGGACTGCACTCCATGTTGGGAGGCCTTACAGAGCAATTTAGCTTTTAATCTTGTCGTTTAATTAAAAGGACCCACCTTGGGTCCTTTTTTAGCAGAAGGGCAGGGTTAAAATATTTTAAATTACTAAATAAATAAATTCTAGATGTGTGTGGACTGTGCGGTGTACTGAGTTGATCCAGTCCATCCCATTATCCCTAGCAACAAACACCCTTCCCATGTCTGGACGCCAGTATTAGGATGATCTATTGAAGTCTGAAACAAAAAGATACCAGAATGACCCAGAACTGCCCCAGAATGAGGGCAGACTGAGCTCCATTCATTCAGCACTGCTGGAATAGGGATGCTCAAAGAAAGGAATAAAACAGGGTTGGTTTCTGTTCAGGTAACAGATACAACTGGTTCGTTAACAGGTGGCTGAGACTAAGAGAGGGTCCTTTATTTATTAGTTATGAAACATATACCTACATGGTGGTCATGGCCGTCAGTGCTGGTGGGTCTGAGAGCCAGATTCTGGCTGAATGTGTATAAAAGGGGAGAAATAAACACATACACTTGTGGGCGTGCATATACATACATACACAGATGTAGGGTTGCTTGCATCTGTGTATGAATGCCCTTGCTCACACAGCTAAATAAGGTATAGGTCTAAAAACTCACAGTCTTTAGAAGGAAAATAATTGAGAAGATTGGGGGGTAGTCTGGGGAGGAAAGAAAAATCTGTCACTGCCTCCATGTCTTCCCCTTCTATTTGCCAGGAGGTGATGGGGCCAGTGGCCATGATCTTCGGTTTTTTGATGTTGAGCTTCAGACCATTTTTTGCACTCTCCTCTTTCACACTCATTATGAGGTTCTTTAATTCCTCCTCAGTTTCTGTCATCAGAATGGTATCATCTGTATATCTGAGGTTGTTGATATTTCTTCTGGCAATATTAATTCTGGCTTTCGTATGATGTACAGTGGGCCCTCGACTTACAAACTTAATCCGTTCTGGAAGTCTGTTCGTAACCTGAAAAGTTCATAACTCAAATCAGTATTTCCCATAGGAATGCAGTGAAAACCATTTAATCCGGCTGTTTTTGGTTCTTAAGTCGAGGGGCGATTCGCAAGTCGATTCATTAGTTCCCATAGGCAAAGTTGCTTAATCCATTCTTATCACTAGGGGACATAATTTTTTTCTCCCCCCCTTTTTTTCTTTGGTTTGTAACTCGATTCTGCCTTCGCAAGTAGGGTCTATAGTTTCCTATGAGATCGGGTTCGTAACCTGAAATGTCCGCAACTAGGGCTGTTCGTAAGTCGAGGGCCCACTGTATTCTGCATATAAATTAAATAAGCAGGGAGACAATATACAGCCTTGTCGTACTCCTTTCCCAATTTTGAACCAATCAGTTCTTCTATATCCAGTTCTAAATTTTGCTTCCTGTCCCACATATAGATTTCTCAGGAGACAGATAAGGTGGTCAGGCACTCTCATTTCTTTAAGAACTTGCCATAAGCTTTTGCCTAGTCAATGGAGCAGAGGTAAATGTTTTTCTGAAACTCTCTAGCCTTCTCCATAAACCAGCGCATGTTAGCAATTTGGTCTCTAGTTCCTCTGCCCCTTCGAAATCCAGCTTGTACTTCTGGGAGTTCTTGGTCCACATATTGCTGAAGCCTACCTTGGAGGATTTTGAGCATAATGCATCCCTCCAAAGTCCAACAATGGCTATGTGGAGTCCCTGGACCTCTGGAGATAGTTTTCCCCAGCTTTAAAAAAAAGTGGTGGATGTGAGAGCCAGGTTGGCTCCATTTGGTCAGCTATCCTTAACCAAAGGTGCAAAGTCCAACAATAGCTATGTGGAGTCCCTGGACCTCTGGAAATAGTTTTCCCCAGCTTTTAAAAAAAGTGGTGGATGTAAGAGCCAGGTTGGGTCCATTTGGTCAGCTATCCTTAACCAAAGGCATTTCAGATATATTAGAATGCAACTACAAAGTCCCCCAGCCAGGATGTTAATCAGGGTAACCTTTGTGAATTACCACTGTACAGTAATTATTTTCTTTCACCTGAACTTTAAATGTTCATTGTCTATTTCTCACATTTTATTTCCCTGTGACCTCGTTGCTAACAGTGTTTTCCTTCTCCCTAGGCCCATGTGTTTACCTTGATCATTTAAATTAAAATAAACAGTGCGAGCAGTGCAGGAAGGAAAAGAACTTCTCAGCTGAAAAACTTTGCTTACTGATCTGGATGCAACATCACATGGCTGTTTGGAGCATCACATCAGGAGCCAAGACGATGGCCAACCTCTGGTAGAAGAGGAACAGGAAGTGGGTGAGTTTATGTGTCCATATCTATATGTCCCCTGCCAAATCAGGATAACATCTCATGCCTCTTGAAGACATGGTCCACAAAAGCTTCTGCCATAATACATTTCCTAGTCTTTAAGGTGGCAGAAGATTCATTGTTGTGAATGAAATCCTCTATAACTTAATACATGATCAAGGAAGACAATGGGCACATCATGTCTCATCATTGTCCCACACAAGAGAAAGAATTCAAAAAGTGGAATGGTGCATTCTAACTGCTACTGAAAGTAGATGCAACAGTGCTTGTGAAGGAAGACTACTGAGGTTCCTTGTCTTCAAAATGGTAGAAATGAAAATAGCCAATAGTTCATATGTATGAGGAAGGTCCATACCATACTATGGAGGAACAAATAGTGATCTTCCGCATCTTGGGGGACTTCACCAAATGCCAGTAGAAATAGGCCCTTGACTCCTCTACGGACACAACTTTCTGCAGGACCTAAATATGCCACAAAGAAACAGAAAAAGTACCTCTCCTGGTTTTGTCTTGAAGGGTTTGATCCTACCAAAATACCTCCTCCTCCCCCAATGGTACCAAAAGTATATAAGAAGAGCCCTCGGGATCAAAATAGTACAGCATTCCTTAAAAATGCATCTTGAGGAAACCCAGCAGCACTTCTTCTCCTACACAGGAGACACAGTGAGATTCTTTAGGAGGATGGTCAGACAGTGATGAGTGCGCCTGGTGATGTCTCTTCCAGTCTAACCCAACAGGGTAGCCTACAGTTGCTTCTGGACCACAACGTCCATCAATCTAACTAGCAGCACCAGTTACCAGAGATGGGAGCTGCAGCCTGAAACCTTTGGGTGACTCTGGGTTGGAGGAAGACTCTTCTCCTCTGTCCCTCTGTCCACCAGCACTTATTTGGGACTCAGGTTGAAGATATCTTCATGACCTTCTATCTGGGTTTGTGAACTGGTGATGCCAAGGATTCCATCTAGAAACTTCTGAAGGCGAACCCTGTGCTTCACAACCAACCACACTATGTTCTCTGCTCTCTTCATCCCATATTCAAAGAGACACTGTCTTGAAATACTTGTTTTGGATAATAGCCAGTGCCTTGAAATTATTTGTCTGGACCACAATTCCCACAAATCATGCTGGCTGGGTAATTCTAGGAGTTTGTACTTCAGAGAAGTAACTT